AAAAAAAAAAAAAAAAAAAAAAAAAAAAAAAAAAAAAAAAAAAAAAGATTGCATTCATTCCCTTACCGAATGCGCCTCCGCCGTCGGCATCACCGAGAACGTTTAGGTGGCTCTTTCGGCCCACGCTGCCCCGCCGGCACTGGTGCTGCTGTTCGCTTGTCCATGGGCATGTGCCGCATTTCCCATGATTCCAAGCATTATGAAGCAGATTAAAATCATTCACTTACCGTTTGTGTCTCCGCCCAATAAAAATGTACAATAGGATTATTCATGCGAAAGGAGAAATCTCTTTAGAAAAAAAATACATCTGTAGGAAAAGACAACAACGAGACTGCAATCATTCACTTACCCAATGTGCCTCCACCGTTGGCATCACCGTAGAACGTTAAGGTCGCTCCTTCGGTCCACGCTGCCCCGTCGGCACTGGTGCTGTTCGCTTGTCCATGGGCATGTCCCATCATTCCAAGGATTATGAAGCACATAAAGATCTTCATGCCCGTACCACAATTCCCAATGTCAAGGAAGATCGATGCCGCACTACCCAGCGACATGGTTTTCAACTTTTCAAGTAGAGCAATCAAGTAAATTCTCAGCAGAAGCGGCGCTCTGCTATGTGGCAGCGGACAGCAACACTGGAAGGAACAAGCACAAACGGCGCTCCGGTATGTGGTAACGGACGGCAACAGCTAATGGCTTAGACTCCGTTATGTCGGCCGTTATATTTCTCAGACCTCAAGGCTCAGACCAAATCTTCGAAGTGCAGCGCCGCGGGCTGATTATGGCAGCTTGCCTTGTCTCTGCAGTAAGACTTGCTGCAGATATTTCGTCCCTGCCGTCATCACACACCGCACACGACCAGAAAGCAAGAAAGCAACTTCATACACAGGTATGGGAAGCCTACGTAACTCACTGATTCTGATAATAGCTACGCATGAAAATCTCTATTTTCTCCATATCTGGCGAGAAACTAGTTAAATTTTCAATCACGAAAGAATTCCACTGGGGTGGGGACCGCATAATCCACCCGAATGGACACTTGCTTGGGCCAGTACCCAGCTTGTTCTACAGGAGGGGGGTAATTGCAGAAATAACGAGTTTTTGAAGTTCCCCAGCGGAAATGTTTTTTTTTTGTTTTTTTGTTTTTTTTTTCCCAGCGGAAATGTTTTTTTTTTAGTTTTTTCCCAGCGGAAATGTTGTCGGGGTCCGAAAGACGTATTTCTTCAACGAAAGTGGGACCCCGCCCGCAAATATTTTTGCTGTGAAACTACCAGGACCTGTAAAGCTGCATCTAAAGATGTATTTTTGCAACAAAACTTGCGCCGCGCCACTATTTTTGCTGTGAAACTACCGCGATTCCGCGAACGCGCTATTTTTGAAACTTACCCACCCTTCTCAAGATAATAGTATTAAAGATAATAGTATTAGTGGCACATTGAAATTTAGTCGCACAATGAAATTAAGTGTGATTGTCCCTCGGGACATCAGTTAAAATTGGAACGATAGAGAGAAGATTAGCATGGCCCCTGCGCAAGGATGACACGCAATTTTTGAAAAATGAAAAAAAAAAAAAAAAATAGTGTGATTATTACAATACTTCGAAGCCTACCAGTTCAGAATTTACCAAATTGTACGAAATGTAACAAACTGAAGTCTATTCCTATGAATCCCTCGGGACATCCGTTTAAATTGGAACGATACAGAGATGTCAGTGAAGTTTAGCATGGCCCCTGCGCAGGGACGACACGCATAAATCGAAGTCTATTTTAGCAGTGTAAGCAGGACATGAAAATTCAAGCCCGTTTTTCATCATCCGAGGAGAGAATGGGCCTCGCTCCACTACACAATACTACATGCATTTGGACGTTTTCTGGACCATTTGCATTCGGACGAATCCAATACTTTGAATGTATCGGGTCCTGAAAGCATCCAAATGCAAGTAAAGTTGTAGTGTTGGCTAGTTAAGCGAGGACCAATAGTTCGAGTAGGGCATTGGGCCGACCAAGCGATCACAAGTTGTAACACATCGGAAGTGACCTTTTCGTGCAACTGCAACGAACAGCAGGAACCTATGGGGAAACAACAACAAAAAAAAAAAAAAAAAAAAAAGCAGGAACATAGTACCGCAAGGCAACCAAAAGCTGCAGTATTTCTACAGCCCCGCAACTACTAAATCGTGTCCCTACAGAAGTCCAACTGCGGGGACACGATTGCAATTTAGTAATCGCTCTGAAAACATTTGAGGTGAAGATGACGAGATATAGAAAAAAAAAAGAGAAGTCCGAGAGGTATAGCAGGAGGAAAGCCAGATGGCATCATGGCAAACAGAAAGCCCTGCGGCCGAAAAGACAGAACAGACCTGGAGTAGGGGGACGATAGCGGAGCATTCGAAGAGGTAACCTGTACGCACGACCCAAACTTAGTCAAGCTGACTTCCAGAAGAACACCGCAGTGACGCACCAAAAAAAAAAAAAAAAAAAAAAAAGGAAGAACTGGCGTTGGTTTCCCCCAGAATATAAAGCGGCTGTTTTTTTTTCTGGAAAAATAAAATAAAATGAAATACAGACTCCAGTTCGAATGCAGACGAAATCTCTATTTTTGCAAAGGAAACTTCGAACGGACGACATTTTTGCTGCCAAACTTCGAAAAATTAATATTTTTGCTATTAATCCAATGCAGATACCTTCAGATGAAGAGAATAAGATCATTCTGAATTGCCTGGGGCCAGTGGGGCCAGTCAGCTCAATGATTATCTGTAAAGGCCGTCGCCTATTTCAAAAAAAAAAAAAAAAAAAAAAAAAAAAAAAAAAAAAAAAAAAAACCATCGTACCAATAAAGAAAGGGCAAGGCGAGAATACCAGAGACAAGAATTGACATTCATAATTCTCATTCCTCGACCTGCGATAGGCTGCGCTGTACTTTTCTCTTCTCTTTGACTATGGCTCGAAAGTTACCTTGTCAGCTATTACTACGTTGCGTAGCGTAGGACTGGAATGCCGGAATTAGGACATATTCCAACTTCGACAGAGTTCTAGACGTAATAATTGCGGCCATATAAATTCAGGTCTCGCTGGAATTGCGCCCAGATGCATCCAGAAAAGTCCTTCTGTGAGTATACCCTTACTCGAGACACTCCCCGGAACCGAAGGCCCTGAGTAAACGGCCCGAGGTAGGAGGGGTGGCAGGTAGTATACATGTAACTCGCCCTCGAAAAATATTGAGAAAGAACAACACGGACTGTTGAGCAAACCATTGACTATTGAGAGCGAACAACACGACTTGTACTAGTTAAAACAACTGGAGGTAACCAACCGGCCTAGGCTAGGGGAGTTGGTACAACCATGGACTTTTGAAAAACGGACCCAAGTTCGAATCCAGATACAACCAGATGAGCAGATACAGTCAGCCTGAGTCAGATCAATGATCACGGATGCCGCCCTTTAAAAAAAAAAAAAAAAAAAAAAAAAAAAAAAAATTGGAGGTAGTAGAAAGTAAATATATTCTCGCATTGCAAAGGAGAACTCCAAGCCTGGCTGCAAGTGTACGAGTACACCTCGAAAGGTGTGCCGGCATTCTCAAGGGGCTTTCGAAGCCTGTCAGGAGTTTAACGAGACTCGAGTGTACGAGTACACCTCGAGAAGCGTGCCGGAATTTCAAGATCTACGAGTTGTACACCTCGAGAAGGAGTGCACTGCTGGCATTCCTAAGTTTATGAGAAGGGAGCTGGAGTCCTTCGGGACATCCGTTAAAATTGGAACGATACAGAGAGAAAGAAGATTAGCATGGCCCCTGCGCAAGGATGACACGCATAAATCGAGAAGGGAGCTGGACTCGAGGGAAAGTGACCGCTTCCTCTGGCGGAAAGAGACAGACTGGGCAAAGTGGAGCACAAATGACCGCATGAAAAATTCCGATTCCGCACCTTGCTAACTAGTTCAACGTTGTACTGCTGCTAATGTCAACCAGCACATGAGACATGCTGCGTAATAGTGCGTATGCTATTGCACGCGCGCGCGCGCGCGCGCGCAAGCTCTCCGCTTGTGTCTGTGTATGTGTGTGTAAGTGGGTCGATGTATGCTTGCATTTGCGTTAGAAGAGAGCGAGGCAGACATAGGAAGGCAGCTCATCCGAGGGAGAAAAACGACTGCAAAAGCGCAAAAGATGACAACTATCACCGTTCGTGTGAAGGACAGAGAAAGCTAAAAACATTCTGTAGTAACAACCACGGTAATTCAGGTGGTTTTGGAGCGGCGAAAACTGGGAGGCACACAGCAATCCTCGTCATACACAAGGCGAAAAAGAGTCGGCGAACATAATACCGGTACTACCAGATCATACCTGGTCCAGATGTAATTCAAAGATTCCAAACTTCAAATGGAAGGCAAACAGCTCAATGGAGCGTGGGCGATTCCCAGTTGGAGATAGTCCGACCCATTTACGTCACCGCAACCCCTCGACGCTGCAAGGCCAATTATTACATGGAACTAGGTCGCGTTCCCGTAACCCCTCCCTCGCCCCTCACTCGCTGACGCACTCATCCGCATGCCCGCACACGCGCACACACGCTCGAATGAGCGGACGAACTAAACGCTCTAACGTTACACGAACAAACACAATTGCAGCGATGGAGATCGTTACTTGCACGCCTAAAAGCGGCGTCAAGACCATACAGCGCAGTGCGGGGAGGAGAGTCAGCAAAAGTAATGGAGAAGTCGCCGCCAGCTGGGCTTGCCCATGCATTTGCTGCTTGTAGGCAGTAGTACGAGCATCGGAGCCCACACGTTGACTCCGTGACTTCGGCTCCAGAAGACTTCCGGATGCAGTCGGCCAACAGCTACAGCTCTGAGTTCTCAACACCTCCGCTAGAAACCGGCGCGTAGGTGCTTGAGGCCGACCTTGTACTGTGCAGCCTATTTATACATCTTTCAATTTCACACCACGGATCATGCCGCTGTTCTGCTCTTTTCTGCTCTTTTTTGCTTTCTTTTTTAGTTTAATCATCTTTCCGCACGTTCACCGACGGAAACCTCGTTACGATTTCTCCACCCTCTAAAAATGGTAAGGTTCAATGAACTTCTCACAGCAACCCCAGTGTCTGGATCGAGATCGAGACGATCTCGGTGGTTCTGCTATTTTTCGTATTTTGGCGGTCGACTCCGACCTCCTCCCGCGCTTGTTTCCTAAATTTCCTATTTCCTATTCCTACTCTGCCCGACCCCGCCACATGCAACCCGCGAACTTTCCCGCACATTTTCCAGCCCGTCGTTCCAGCGGCCCGCTGGTCCTTCACCAGGGGCCAGGTCCCACTAGCAGCGTTGAGTTTCCTCAACGCCCGATCTGGACGTGTCTGTGGATATGTGCAGAAATCGCGTTGAGTTTTCTCAACCGCAGATCTCCACGAACGCGTCCAGATTCAGGCGATGAGGAAACTCAACGCTGCTAGTGGGACCTGGCCCCAGGTGAGGATTCGCCTCAGGACATAACATATGCTCGTCAAGGCTCCCTGCGATGTATATGACGGCGACGACAGCCGAATTCGAGAAGTCGCACTGTGATTATGCCCTCATTCTCTCTCGAATTCACCGAGCGGAGACGAGAGTACGGGCTCCTTTTTTTGGGGGGGGCGGGACAAATGCTCCAGTCTATTCGTGGCGAGCAGCACGTGCTGGGAACCG